TCAGCTTTTCAGTTTTTATGTGTGCGGGAATGTGTGTGTGTGTGTGTGTGTGTGTGTGTGTGTGTGTGTGTGTGTGTGTGTGTGTGTGTGTGTGTGTAATGTGCTTGTACTGTCTGCATGTTTGTGTGTAGGGAAGCAGGTCAGGCTGGATGTGTTGCTAGCCCCTCAGCGAAAAGCCTGCCCACTCCCACTCATAATAACCCACCACAGAATTATGGTTTTGTAGTTGAAGACCAGCCAGCTTCACTAATGCCTTTCAAATGTGTGTGAATTTGTGTGTTTGCATGCCTTCCAGCGTGGTTGGATCCCACAGACGAACAGCATATCAGCAGCGTGCCCTTGATTTGGATGAAGGGCAGTATTTCTGCTAGAGTTAAACAGCCTTCTCCAACTTTGTTACCTTTAGCTTTAAAATGAGTTTATTAAAAAATGTGCGAGAACTTTCATTACCTTCCAGGTTTGGGATTTCACCTTCAGCCGGCTCAGTGCAACCTGCAAATCAAAACGAGGATTCACATTTGAGCGAGGGAGAGCCTCTATGTTCTCAGTACCTGTCCAGACATGACTTGACATAAACATTAAAAAAAAAAAAGAAATACATCCATCTGCTCAGCTGAGATTGCAAAGTGAGGGTTACCACAGTGAACAGTGTGTCGTGCCCTTTTAATTGAGACTCAGTAGAGTACTCCTGTTTGCTCGGATGAAATTCTGTTGTTGGGAATTGTCACAGGCAAAGGACACTGGAGACTAAGGCCTCAGTTTCAAGGATGGTAGAATGGCAGAAAGAGCAGATAACTCAGCAGTAGCGTGTGATCCCTCTGGCTTTAACAGGAACTGACTGTGATGGGAGGAGAGCCTTTATATAGGGGGCACCAATAATCCCTGTAATATATCATAGACTGTATCGGTCCACAACAGAATGCATGTTTCTTAACATAATAAATCTGATTTGTTAACATTTAGAGATAAGATTGGGCGTGCCCCGGGAAGGTTAGGCCAAACACAGTCAAATAGTTGAATCTGCGAAGCTGTGTGGCATCCCCCTTTTATGTCCCTCTATAAAGTGCTTCCTTAGAAGAATGTCCAAATTTTTTGTTTTTTATAAAAATATTAATGGAGTTTCTTTGTGAATGTATGTATGAGTGGGAAGAGGTTGAAGAGAAGTGAGTTTGAAGGGTTTTTCTCATTGACTTTCATTGTAAGTAAGCTTCAAAAAAAGTTCTGAGAAATTTGATTATCCGGTTAAAATTCTTAAACTTACATCTACTCCTTCTCTCTGATTTAAAATTCCAGATCTATGAATATGTAAATACTGTTCACTTTAAAAGTTTAACTGTTGGACACGACAGCTCCCTGAAAAGTCCACTCCCAAATAATTTGCACGTTCACGTGTTTTACAATCAGATTCAAGGTGAGCACAGTGGAGAAATGAATGTGAAACTGTATCAAACTCTGCACACACATCATTCTGCACCATGAAGCCCAAACATCCAAGTGAATTACTGAATGTGTCTTACAAATGTAAAGATTGAATCTCCACATTTAACTGAACTCGTGTTCCAGATTTAGTTTATATTCGTACTCGGTGATGGCATTACCCACACGCGTGCACTTTTACATGAAATTTGCCTGACAATATGACACATCTCCTGCATCTTACATGACACAGAAAAGGCATAATTCATAGCAGTTTTCCCTTTGAGCAATAGGGTTTTTTTGTGCTGAAATGGAATTGGTTAAGTGAGATCAAGGAAGATTGACTGTGGAGGAGACACATTTTTTATTAAGTTTTTTTGTCCGATTTCTGTGCAGCAGGTGAATGTGATTTGTTTGTGTGGAGGCTGACAGCTACATCTTTTTGTTCTTTTACTTTGGCTTTATCACCGCCAGTCTTTTCCTCCTGCCCATACTGCTGTGAAACTAGGGGCCTCAAAACCTGGAATTAATGTTAGATCTTTTTCATGCCTCATTTTACTCTGTTACATATACAGCATCAGAGACCCGTTGGATTGGACAACATAAATGTGCTGCGCGCAGTTGTGTTGTATTAATAGCACATGACTAAATTTGTGGGTATAGTTGCGAGGAGCAGCTTTAAAGCTTTTAGGTTATTTTCAACCTGCGCCGCATTTTCCAGTTTCCTGTTTTTAACATCCTGGCAGTGGATTGTGTAACTTCAAACACAATCATGCTTTCCTACCTCCAAGTGCTACTGAAGGCAGCGAAGAGCGCTGTTCTATAATGCATAACACACAATAAAATCTCCAACAGTGGAAAAAGAGAAGTGATGAAAATGTCCATTTGACATTAAAAAATGCAGTTCTGCATTTGCACATATCTGTAGTTGGATGTGGTAATTATCACAAGTATTCTATTCCATATATTCAGTATCAAAGGGGTTAAGACATAAAATTTTTTCTGTGTTCTTCTTGTTTTATCATTAATACAAATATATAGTGTATAACTTTCAAACTGACTGTAACGGTATAAGAGCTGCGGCTGCATGTTTGATGTTTGTATCCCCAGCAGAGCTCTCTTTTCATGTAACTATAAATACATGTAGCCACATCCATGCCCGTGCACCATTTTTCTTTCTTCAAAATTCAGCATTGTCTTATGTAAGACAAACCATCAGAGTGGAAAAACTCATTTTTTGTTCCTTTTCAAGTCATAATGAAACAAAATAATCTAAGCATATTTCATCAAGAAAAAGGTAATTACGGTAATGAGATTTCTTTACACAGCATTGAAACGCCAGGCACAGGGAAAGGCCTAATTTGTTATGGTTCTTTTTTGAAATTTTTAATTAGTGAGCTTACATATGCGTTTTTTTCCCCCTGCTTTCAGCCTACTCGTCTTTTGCATGATCCTTTATTTGAGACCACATTATGGTTTAGTTTGTCGATTTATTGGACATCAGAAGTATGGATTTTTTTCCTTTCTTTTCTATATCATGAGTGAGCGGACACCACTGAGAGAAAGTTGTATCTTTGGCTGAAAATATTACAGAGTGCCTCTAAAGGTACAGCCAAACAAATCGAGAGCTGATACCAACGGAGGAAAACTGAAAGCAAAATATCCGCACTATATATGGTCCCTGTGTTTTTAAATATTTCACCAATGGCGTTTCACATTTTGAGTTGATTTGCTCATCAGACATGTACGCTCGAAAAGTCTGCAGTGATTTCTCTCAGGTGATGGGGAAAAAAGGTTTGTTTCACTACAAAGTTTGAAGCCTTGATTGCAGACGGTGTCTAAAAATAAATCGAGCTATTAAAGTCAAGTCATTTAAATGCTTCTTCATTGCAAGTAGAGCCTCATAATTGTTGTTCAAATGTCAGAATTAGCCTATGTGTAGGTTTATCTGACAGAACCTATAGTAGCTGTCCATTATATCAGGTATAACTTGTTAGGTAGGATGGGTGATGGTGGATGGATCTGTATCAAAGCATGTGACTCTGACACAGGAGACCATTATTCGCATCTTGTTTCCTACCAGCCTACTAAGACACATTATCGCCTACAGAATCCAACTTGGTAGTGGAAAACTGAATGTCATGGGTCTTACAATTGCATCATAAAACTCTCAGCTCTTTCCAGAAAATCTGCTCTGTTAATCTGCAGTTCTTGGGAAGATAACTTGCCAGAGGGCCTTTTTTTTAGCAAAACAGTCGATATCAACATGCAACACTAGCTAACACTCTCCGCTGTGGTGAGTTATATCACCAGAGAACTGGAGTGTGAAGGAACCGGTTCAATGTGAACTTGGAAAACCTTCCTCCATGCTGTCTCATTTTTCGGACATAGAGGCAGAGCGGGTCGTCCCCTAATCGGAAGGTTGTTGGTTCGATCCCCGGCTCCTGGTCCCACATGTTGAAGTTTCCTTGAGCAAGATACTGAACCCCGAATTGCTCCCAATGCCATGCATCGGTGTGTGAATGTGTATGACTGAGTTTCTGTTTGATGGGCTTTGCCATCACTGAGTGAATGTGTGTGAAAGGGCGAATATGCCATGTAGTGTAAAAGCGCTTTGAGTGGTCGGAAGACTAGAAAGGCACTATACAAGTACAGGTCCATTTACCATTTACCATTTCCCAGGTTCAGCTCGGCACTCACTGCCCCAGTCAAAACCACAAGTCGTTTGTACTGAAACACGCCTCAACCCTCCGAGTATTTCCAAGCATGCTGAGATAGAAAAACTCTCTGATGCCACTTTGAAGACTAGAACCAATTAGGGAATCATTATAATGAGGAGTCTCTAAGTGCACGTCTTTTGTTACTTAGCAGCTGTCTAATTGAAGTTGGTGTATTTTCGAAGGGAATTGGGACGAAGGCTGTTCCAATGTGATACACTTTTAAATCAGCTACTCACTCGTGGCTGAGATTTTGACAATATATATCACAGTTGCTTGTACAGAAGGTTTTGTTTCACCTTTTGTTTCAAGTAATGGATACTCTAAGCAGTTATGGTATTTCAAGAAACTAATATTTTGCTGTCATAGCTGTACACAGCTGAAAATGCTGCATCTCCTGCAGCAGCTCTTAACCTTCCCATGCCCACTGCAGCTGTGAATGATTTTTACCTAAGGGTATACTGTAGATTCAGAAATGGTTGACTAGTTACACAGCTGCTGTATATACGGTACCGTTTATATTGCAGTCCATGTCACAGCCATATCATCACTTACACACTCATTTTTACAAGGAATGAATGGCATTAGTATTGAAGCAGCTGCTGCTTTGAAAGCACGGGCATTGATGTTTAAAGCTTTGAATGGGTAATTCTGAGTCATAGTAATTTATCCACTTTTCTTCTCTGTCCACTCTTTAAATATTATATTTCTGTGTATTTGTTCCCATTTTAATACAGCCTTTGTTGTGGTCTTTAATGAATAAATCATACTCCCACTGTCCATGGGGGAGAAAGATGCGGAATTTAATGTGCTCTCTCCCTCTCTCTCTCTCTCTCTCTCTCTCTCTCTCTGTTTGTCTTTTCACAGCTCCCCTGACAGACAAGCCGCCAAAAATCCTTTTCCCTTCAGAGAGCCAAATGAGCGTCATAGAGATGGCAATAGGTAAGGAAACATGTTTCGTTCCCCACATTGATGGCTTATTTTCTGTCCGCCGATGGAACATGTGGTGTCATAATTTGTGGCATATGCCTGCTCTTCACAATGGCATCGCTACCAATTTCTTGATTGGTCGAGATTCCTTCTTTGCTGTGCGTTTGCTGAGTGGTGGAACCATTGGGGTCAAATGGTATTAGCAAATAAGCATAATGGCTTTCTTGTAAAGACTGGAAATTATTTGTCACAACTGCCATTATTTGATACACGTTAATATCAGACACAGCCCTTTAGTCCTAATTCTCCCTATTTTCATACTGTAGGTAAACATTAATTTATCATAATTTACTTCCTTGTCCTCTGATCTGCTCCTGTTTCAATTTGTCTTAAACTCACATGGGTACGTTTTCCGTGTTTACCTGTTGTCAGTAATATCAAGATAATCTGCCCTAATGCAGTACAAAAACATAATCATGTCATACTCACCACTCTTGTTGCTCCTAGTTTCTCTTTTAAAAAGAAATACTGATTTAAAGCGCTAATTAAGTCAAAACACTTCTACTTCTACTCTTTTCGATCAGTGTTAAGCTACTCAACCCTTTCCGAGCAAATGTCTCATGTAAAAGGCTTCCAGAAGCTTAAGTTGAATAGTGCCGTCCTTCCTCGCAGGCCCTCGCATCTGCAGGAAGTGTTGCCGAACAAAAGAATGGCAAAGTAAGAGCGATTGAGAATAATGCAGTGAAAACCGTATTTCTGTTACAAATAGAGATTCAGCATATTAGTAGACTGTTGTACTAATGGAATTATTGCTGTGGACATAAAGATTATGCTTAATTTACTATGTAAATTGTTATAATAATTCGAATCCCCAATATTTTTTTTTACTTGTTCATTCTGGGCACCACCTATTATTTAAATACCAGTAATTTATGGCATTACCCTTTCCAGTGTCCTGTGCTGTCAACACAGATATTTAATGCACCTTGTAATAAAGAGCGCTGGATTGTTTTGAGCAGTCGAACTGTATTTATCTCCTATAGCTTCCTATAAGTTGTATTTGTGTTTTTTAGATTTGCACAGATCTGACGTAAAGTAACCAAACAGTGTTCTGTAGAAGAGTTTCAATTAGGTCTCTGTGTCTGTTCTTTTGTGAATGGACCTTGAGTTTCATCACGATAGAAGAAAAACAAGATGAGTCATTTGACGTTTTTGTGTATGAAAAATTCACTGATTCAATGGGTATGAAAGCCAAGTCTGCTGCTTTTTCTTCTCCTGTCCTGTTGAGTGCCTCTTCATTGTAATTACACTGATCACATCTATCCTGGTTATCTTGTGCAACATGGATGCAGCTTGTGTTTGCTGAGCTCTAATGAGTCACTAATAAATCAAAGTGGTACTTCTGAGAAACCATACCTAATCTTCCCTCATATTACCTTCAAGTTTATAATGTTAGCATTACTTCAAATGATTGCCTCCAATTCTGCCTCATGTGATGGCCTCAGAACGATAGTCCTTCGTTTGCCTTAGCAGCTCTTAATGCACAGGGGCTCATGGGAAAATTCCCGCTTTGTGCCTTATCGGGCGACAGCTCAGCTGTTGGTGGAACAGAAAATGGGTCATGATGAAGGTTTTCTTTGAAGTAAATTTTTCATGGACGATGAACACAACTGGCTCGCAGAGGTAAAAGGTAGCAATCAGAAAATAGGCGCAAATCATTGTAGCTTTAAATTGATGATGGATAAAAGCCTTTCTGTCTTTTTATGTGGTTACATGTTTCATAGTGGATAATAGTGATTTTCATAATCCATTCCCTGATAGCTGCGATAATACGCAATGATGGTCCAAAGAAAAGAAGTGTGCTGCTTTTCTTGTTTTAGGATTGATTATTTTGTAACTGTATAATTTACTGTATATTTTATTCACTGTCTGGGATTTTTTAGTTTTTGAGCTTTCTAGCTTTCTCGTGCCCTTAGATACAGTAACTGTATCAGATTGAATTTTCATCTTGATTTTGATTTTCAGTGCATGAGGATTAGTAGGAACTGTATTTTTTTCTCTGCTCCTCCCTCCACCTCTGCACCCATTGATATTCTACACAGAATCAGCAGCTCTCTGTACATAATATATGAACATCTATTTGATTCTCTGCCTCTACAAGCCCCTATCACTTCCTCTCAGTGTTTGGCTAGCATGCTCTTGTCAGCTGCAGAGAGCCCAGTTGTATCCTTGTATCCTTGGGTTGTGGCAGTTTTTGTGGAATTTTAATATTCATTTTCCCATGAAATATAGAAGCTTAAATGGCTTCGGCTGACAGTTAATTAGGCAGGTGAGAGGGAGAAAGCAGAGGAGTGGGGAAAGGCGAACGTGGAGAGACACTTTCAAGCTCTTGTTGTCGAACTCAAGGGAGAAACAGAGAGAACAGAGGGATCTGTAAATGGGTGGCCCCCAATTAATCAACGCGCACTTCTCGTCCGTGGCCCACTCCCCTTTTTTTGTCTCCTAATGGATGTGGTTACTCAGTTATAATTGATTAAATTTAAAATGCTTGATTAAAACATGTTGTATAAATGCTCTTCTCAGCCCTCGGTGGGCTTGCCTTTCCACTGCTTTCTCTGTGGGACAGATCACATACAGTTTGGGTCTGTAATTCAGTCTGACAGTCCAGTGCGCACTGCTTTCACTCTGTCTTGTGCAGATGTAGAATAATTGACTGCAGACTAGCCAAGCAGACTAACTGCAACGCAAGTCTGTTTCTAGTAGAGTGCTAATGTGTACGATTTGTAAACACTAAACACTTTGACAACGGGCTGATTAATTTCCTTAATGCATTACCATGTTTTTTGTGTTTTCCCTGTTGAATGAATGCACAAGAAAATGCTTCTGCCACTTCTGTGTTCTTGAACACAATCCAACCAGGGATTCAAATCAAACTCCCAGACACAAACCTGCTTCTTTGGCCTTTATTCTGCTGCCAGCTTTGATTTGTTATAATGCTGTCTATTCTATGCAGAGCTGACGTGTCACTTGTGCCCTTCCTTGCCTACCTATCCTGACATTTTATTTCGGGTTCGATTGAATTTACGACCATACTGGCACTCTGTTTGTGATGTTCATTCTGGGAATACCAAGCTAGTTCCCCTGTGATCTTGATTGGCTGTTAAAACTTCAAGCCCTTTCAACTGCCTCCTTCCTCTGGATATCACACTTCATCCCCTGACACTTGACATTACGACACTGCAGCCAGTTTTCTGAAATTGCAGCGGAGAGAAAACAAGGTGGTGGTATCTGAGCCTCTTTGCTAAGTTTCCCCACAATTCACTCTGCTCACCTCTCACATGAATGCTTTACTTGAAGAAGCCATACATTACACATTTATGTTATACTTTATTTATTTTATGCATTATCAATCTGTAATATTTAATACATGCCAAGAGTTGTTTTGTGTCAAAGTAGAATAGAATTGATTTTATTTTTTGGTGGATTCACTTTCCCCAGAACTGCCTTGTCTTTTCGTCCTCTTGTGCCTCAGCTAGTGATTTGCTTTGTTTCCCACAATACCTTTTGGGATCCTGAATTGTGAAGTGAATTTATTGTTTTCAGTCAAAAATGGACAGTAGCTCAGCGACAAATTATGAACAGAGGAAATGGTCCAAAGGTCTCACACACACCCCTCTCTCCCACTCCATTTAGGCTGCATTTAGAGACATATTATCTCTGTGTCTTAGATTGAATTTCTCCCTGTATGATTTAGAGATGTTCCGATACCATTTTTTCCCTCCCGATACCGGTACCGATTCTGATACTCATGCTGTGGGTATCGGCCAATACCGAGTACCGATACCGATACCAGTGTGTTAAAAAAAAGAAAAAATCATACTACGCCTGCATGACTGTGATACAGGGGCGGACTGGGACAATAATTCAGGCCGGGAATTTGATACCATCCCAGGCCACCACCACCCAATTAATGCAAAACACCAAGAGTGAGTTAGGTTGGCGCCTATGTAAGAGTGTAAAAAAATAAAGCAAAGCCTCCACATGCGCCCACACAAGGCTTTTTCTGTTTTTTTCCCCTACAAAATAAATGTTTCTGTTGTGCTGCAATGACCTGTACTCAAATCACATAATTTCTATTCTATTTCATTTACTACTACACTTTCAATGTGCAGGCTGCACATTTAACAGTGTAGTAGTAGATTAAATAAAGATGCAGATGTGTAGGTTTATTCTCTGTTACATTAAACAAGGAAACTTCAAACACACACAGAAAGAAATTTGCAATATCCTTTACAACTTAAAACATTAGTTTTATTAAGTCAGTTTTAGCCCCATCAGCTTCCACAAAGTGGAACTAACCTCCTCATTAAGATGGTCATACTGGATAGGCTATGGTTGTGCGTCTGTTGTCACCACTAGTGTTTAATGTCTTACCTGCTCCCTTACTGACAAACATGTCAGTTATTTTACAGCACTTCGCTGAATCTGTGGCGAGTGCTTTTAGCTTTTTAAGCCTCTCCCTCTCTGCTCCACCTTTCCTCTTGGGCTGTCAATCTCGCTCCATTTTTCAAGCATGTAGAACTACAGGTGAGGGGGGAGGGGGGGCGCGACTTGGTGTGTGTGTGTGTGTCTGCCTGCCGTGCTTTGACAGAGAGCCTCAGAAAAAGAGAGGAGGGGGTGTGTTTGTGCCCAACGTTGCTGCTCAGTCTGTGTGAGCTTCAGCAAGGCAGATACCCTAATGAGCCGCACGATGGATTGTTTATTTAAAAATCAAGCGCGAAGCGAGCCTTTGGTCCCGACCATCAGCAATCGCAGAGCGGGCCAGTTCGGCGGACTGGCCACCGGGAAAAACTGGTACTCCAGATGGCCAGTCCGCCACTGCTGTGATATAATTATCGTGTCTTCAAATGTTTGATTAAGTTGCTGGTGTTGAAATTTGCAACAGTCGTGCCACCCCTCGAAATTGCTTCTTTGTATATGTTGCATGTCGCCGTCTTACTGGTGGGAACATC